TTTTTTTTTTAAAATAAAAAATAGAGATGGGGTCTTGCTATGTTGCCCAGGCTGGTATCAAACTCCTGGGCTCAAGCAATCCTCCCACCTTGGCCTCCCAGAGTGCTAAGTGATTGAAGGCATCCTGCAACTAACAAGACACCCTAAATCTCAAGAGTTCCCCTGAGGAACTTAATAAACTCCTTTCACTCAATGAGGTACAGAGTACAGATAATATATCAGTCTTTTTGTCTATTCCTGGATTTTGGTAAAAAACCGGAATCTAATTTTATATTCATGGCCTTAAGGCGAGGAGGTCACTCTCATCAGTAACCACAGTAAGACCTGGCATACTGATTTACACCTTCTCCATTTTTTTTTTTTCAAATTTGGGACGGAGCCTCGCTCTGTCACCCAGCCTGGAGTGCAGTTGTGGGATCCTGGCTCACTGCAGCTTCTGCCTGCCAGGTTCAAGGGATTCTCCTGCCTCAGCCTTCCAAGTAGCTGAGATTACAGGCACCCACGAACACACCCAGCTAATTTTTTGTATTTTTAGTAGAGCTGGGTTTTGCCGTGTTGGCCAGGCTGGTCTCAGACTCCCAACCTCAGGTGATCCACCCGCCTTGTCCTTCCAAAGCGCTGGGATTACAAACATGAGCCATTACGCCTGGCCTATACCTTCTGATGGAAGAAGAAAATTCAGAAAATGACTCACAAAATCGACTAGGAAACTCTGGCCCAGTTGTTAGGAGTTAATTCTAGAGAAATATCAACAAAGTCTTCTCCAAACTTATCAATTTAATTTATTAAACACAGATTCCCGTAAGTTCTACAGGGTCCAGGAATACCACGGTGAATTAAGCAGATGCAAATTGGACAAATCACCTACCATTTGCAAGTCGGCACTGTTTCAGCACCTCACTGAAACCTTCACAGAGCTTGATGTCACCCTGATTCTGGGCACACTCCAAGAACTGTTTGATCTCATAGAAGCAAGGCTGCTGCTGCTGTGCTGGCTGGGTTCCCTGAGGCTCCTGTGAAGGCAAAACATTCATTATTGCTAAGAAAGCAAATCATATTTACGCCTAGACAATGAAGAGTATATCCTCTTTGAGGTTAAAGGGAAATGGAACTAGCACCAGATGCAAATTAAAGCTTCCATCTATCTATTAACATGGAAAGTGAAAACATTTAAATCTTTAAAAAATATTTTAGGCCGAGTGTGGTCGCTCACATCTGTAATCTCAGCACTTTGGGAGGCTGAGGCGGGTAAACCACTTGAGGTCAGGAGTTTGAGACCAGCCTGGTTAACATGGTGAAACCCTCTCTGTCCTAAAAATACAAAAATTAGCTGGGCATGGCACTGCATGTCTGTAATCCCAACTACTCAGGAGGCTGAGGCAGAATTGCGTGAACTTGGGAGGTGAAGCTGCAGTGAGCTGAGATCATGCCACTGCACTCCAGCCTGGGTGACAAAGCAAGACTCCATCTCAAAAAAAAAGAAAAATTTAAATAAATATTTTTAGTTTCAAGCACACCAGAAATACCAGAGTATACACACCTATGCTCATTACACGAGAAAACCCATACATATCAGAAAGACAGGCAATGGCAAATATCAGGTAAAAGAGCACAGAACTATTTGAGATTTTTGATTCCTTAACTAAGATCAAGACAGGATTGTAGGAAGTAACACTGAGATAAAATATTCAAAGGGATAGCGGTTATTTTACAGGGAGTCAGGCTGGATTGTTACGTCTACTCCTTGGGAAGAAATACAGTTTGTACAGTACTTGGTGGTGGCCTAAGGCAGTAACTCAACAGCCAGATGTAGCTTTTGATAACCCATTGTCAACAGTGGGTTCTAAAACCCAAGACAATTCCTACACACAAGGAACTTAGAAATGTCTGGTCTTTCTCATAAAATCCACCCATGGAAGGGAAATGCTGCCTAAATTCTCACCTGGTAAGTGATGTCAGGCCTCGCAGGCTCAGGATCACTTCCTCCACTGAAGCCCCCAGTAATGGCATGGCCCAGTGTGTGCCCCACAGCAGAGCCCACAGCCACGCCAGCTGCAGTGGTTGCCATCTGGGACAGCAGACCTGGCTGCCGGGGCGCAGCAGCAGGAGAGCCAACTGCAGAGGGGGGTGCCGCTGCTGGTGGCTGAGCGGCTGGTGCTGGCCTGGGCGCAGCTCTCATCTGAGGGGCCCGGCTGTGAAAGAAAAAAACAAAGCGTAAAAGTTCCCACTTCCAACCAGTTTTGGAAATTGTCAACTTAATAATAACATATATTAAAATAGACCTCAAGGTTTTCATTTCAAATTATTTACATCGCTTTACCTCTTTAATTTTTTTTTTTTGGACAGGGCCTCACTCTGATGCCCAGGCTGGAGTGCAGTGTCATGATCCCATCTCACTGCAACCTCGGGTTCAAGCGTTTCTCCTGTGTCAGCATCCCCAGTAGCTGGGATTACCCGCATCCGCCACCACACCCAGCTAAGTTTGTGTTTTTCGTAGAGACAGGGTTTCACCTTGTTGACCAAGTTGAACTCCTGACCTCATGTGATCCACCCGCGTCCCAAAGCATTGGGATTATAGGTGTGAGCCACAGCGCCCACCCACTTTTAACTTTTCTTATAATAGTAATTGCCAAGGGCAAACTATTTTTCCTGCTTCTTTGCAACCATTTCAATGTATTCACATAGCCCACAGTATCTTTCAAGACATATCCAATACGTATGTCATAAGAAATATAGACTATTAAAAAGAAAGATTCTTACAGAATTCATTCATTCAGATATTAGGTAACTACAAGGCGCTAGTAATGTAACTAAGAGACAAAAATCTCTGCATTCATGGAGTTTACATTTTTTTTGAGGGATCAAATAATTAAAATAGGCTGCAGAGCTGTGGCTCTTGCCTGTAATCCCAGTGATTTGGGAAGTGGAGGCAAGAGGATCATTTGAGGCCAGGACTTTGAGATCAGCCAGGGCCACATAGTGAGACCCTGTTTCCACAAAAATACAAAACAGAATAAAGTTGCCAGGTGTGAGACACACCTGTAGTCCCAGCTACCCTGGAGGCTGCAGCGACAGAATAGCTTGAGGCCAGGTCGTCATGGCTGCAGACAGCCATGATTACGTCACTGCACTGAAATCCGAGTTAGAGTGAGACTCTGACTCAAAATATAAATAAATAAAAAAGTCATATTTTAAGTGTTATGGAAGAAATATCAGAAGAGTATGTTGTGAGATATCTCTATTTTAGGGTAATCAAGGAAGGTCTGGCTGAACCAGTAACATTCTAATTAAGACCTAAAGATGGTCAACTGGGGAAAGAATCTAGTCCAATTCCTTCATTTTACACGCTATAAAATAAGACTGGTGAGTGACTCGCCTGAACTATTACACCAAAGCAAGTTCAACTATTCCTCATCTGTACAACGTCCAGACGGTTTCAACAATTTCACTAGGCCAGGATTACTCCTGTAATCCCAGCACTTTGGGAGGCCGCGGCAGGAGGATCTCTAGAGACCAGGAGTTCGCGGTCAGCCTGGGCAACACAGGGAGGTCCCGTGTCTACAAAAATTAGCCGTGCGTGGTAGCGCGTGCCTGCAGTCCCAGCTACTCATGACGCTGAGGTCCAGGCTGCAGTGAGCCGTGACCACGCCGTTGCCCTACAGCCTGGGCAACAGGGGAAAAGCCCTTCTCAAATCACGAAAGACACAATTTCACTAATGTCCTGCACTTATTTAAAAATCTTCACACGTATCACGCTCCCTCTAGCCATTTCCGGATCATTTCATCAGGCCAGGTCAAAAGGTTAACGCCTTCTATCACGTGGCACCTGGGCATAACGTCACGCCTTTGCCGTCGCCTGGATGGGAAACTTTTTCCTTAAGTGAATTCCCTCTCCACACTCCCCCAACACACGCTTTGCGCTCAGTCCACCTCCCCCGGCCGAGGCGGGCCCCGTTGCAATAGGCCTTGCTTCGCCCCCGCCCGCGCGCGGCCTCCCTCTGCATCATGGCGCCAGTGGGGTCTGCACGCTCGCGCTCCGGCCTCAAACCCCGCGATGGGCTCACCTAGCCGGAGGGGCCATGCGGGAAGTACGGCTCCGGCTTCCACGCGGCATCCTAGCGACGGGGCTACTCGGCCTTCAGACGTGCAGTGACCAGGGAAGAGCTCAGCAGCTTCTGAGAAAACCGGAAGGCGGGAGGCGGCGCTGGCCTCAGCTCGCAACCAATCAGCGCACAGGCAGACGACTTCCGTTCTCCAATGTCTCCGGGGCCCTGAAGGTCACTGAAGGAGCAGGACGTCACGAGGACGCCCAGTCCCCTCCCCCAGCCCCCGCCTCGAGTTCCCATTGGCTCCGCGTGAGGGGGGCTCTGACGTCACAGGAACGCTCCCTCGGCGACGTCACAGGGGCGGACCTTCGGTGGTCGGCGTCGCAGGACGGTCTAGCGCCTGCAGCGTGGCTGTTTTTTCGTCAGAGTGGAGCCTAGCAGCCGCGTCTTCGCCGGTCCTGGGTGTTGCTGGCTGAAGAACGGCAGTTGACAAACTCCGACCCGGCACAGCGTTTGTGTCGGTAGAACACTGTCCGGGCGCGGTGGCTCCCGCTTGTAGTCCCAGGGCTTTGGAAGGCCTAGGCGGAAGGATCCCTTCAGGCCGGGAGTTCAAGAGCAGCGGGGCAACATGGTGCGACCCCGTCTCTGTATTCCCACCTGAGCCTCCCAGCTACTTGAACCCCAGGGTTCAAGGCTGCAATGAGGTGTGGTCCCACCACAGCACTCCAGCCTGCGAGACTGAGGTAAACCCTGTCTAAAAAAGTTAAAAAACTATCCGAGTGTGCAACGAGGGGGACTGCTTAAAGAAAACATGAGGCCGAGGCCGGGCGCGGCGGCTCATGCCTGTAATTCCAGCACTTTGGGAGGCCGAGCGGACGTAACACCTGAGCTCAGAGTTCGAGAGCAGCCTGACCAACGTGGCGAAACCATCTCTGCTAAAATACAAACATTAGCTGGGCGACATGGCGCACCCCTGTAGTCCCAGCTACTCCGGAAGCTGAGGGAGGCGAATCTCTTGAACCCGGGAGGTTGCAGTGAGCTGAGCTCTAACCACTGCACCCCACCCTGGGCGACAGAGTGAGGCTCCAGAGTTTGAGACTAGCCTGGACAATGTAGTGAAACCCTGTCTCTACAGAACAAACAAGCAGGATTCGCCTGCCTCAAGCGATTCAAACAAACAAAGCAGTATTCTCCTGACTCAGCCTCCTGAGTAACTGTGTTCACCTGTGGCCCCAGCTACTTAGGAAGCGGAGGCAGGAGGATCAGTTGAGGCCAGGAGCTCAAGGCTGCAGTGGGCTATGAGCATCCCACTGCTCTCCATCCTGAGCAATAGAATGAGACCTTGTTTTTAGATAGCTAACTGGCTAGATAATTGATTCGTAGTTTCCTATCAGAAATTTTTTCCCCTAGATTTGAATACGTTTTCCTTTTTTTTCCTGAAACGGAGTCTTGCTCTGTCTTCCAGGCTGGAGTGCAGTGGCGCAGCCTCCGCCTCTCAGGTTCAAGCGATTCTCCTGCCTCAGCCTCCTGAGTAGCTGGGATTACAGGGGGTGCTACCACCCTTGGCTAGTTTTTGTATTTTTAGTAGAGATGGGTGTAGGGAGAGCCCTCACACACCACCTGTGGGTACTCGGAGCTCGGTGGCAGTAAAGGAACTGAGAAAAAGGTTAAGACTGAAAGTGGAACCATGGGGCCATCACTTGTACTGGAGGCAGTGAAGGCCCTGAGCTCCGGTTTGCACAATATTGAACACAGTCACTTTTTTTTTTAAATTGTACTTTGGGGTACATGTGCACATCCTGCATCGTGCAGGATTGTTGCATAGGTACATACATGCCATGGTGGTTTGCTGTCTCCATCTCCCCCCTCTCCTGTCGCCTGCATTAGGCATTAAACATAATCACCTTATCTATAGTGCTGGTGGTAGGGTGAATCAGTGAAGGAGAGGCTGTGCATCAAACCTAAAATGGATGGCAGTGGTGGTTTATGTGAGTTTCTCAAGAGCTAAAAGCATATGCTTATCAATAGACAGTGCAGCTGGTGGGAGCGTGCTTATCAAGGAGCCTACATGTCTGTTTACATTCCAGTGCTTCAAGGGAGTGTTATGTCCTTGGGCACTATGTTTAGAATATCAGAGTTTAGGTCACTTTGTTCCTGGGAACATGGTAGCAATAGAGAGGCCTTCCACAGTTTATTGTTCTTGATTTCTTTTATATGTATACGTTACTTATACCAGTTTATGTAGGCACACTGTAAAAACCTTCCTCTATAGCTGCTCCCCCCAACAGATCGGGTTTCACCATGTTAGTCAGGCTGGTCAGGAACTCCTGACCTTGTGATCCACCTCCCTCGGCCTCCCAGAGTGCTGGGATTAAAGGTGTGAGCCACTTCGCCTGGCCTTGAACATGTTTTTCTAAAGTAGCATTCAACACATCAGCATTTTATAGTGTTATTAGTGGTTAATATGATTGTTTTTCTGAAATGCAGTATCCTTTACAAAAGCAGTTTTTTCTTTCAAAGCACATAGATAGGTTCATAAGTGAATTTGTGTGATGTTGTCAACCTTGGTACCATTTTCTCCAGTTGATTGGAACAATCAATAATTTCAGGTCACTGTTGGCCTTCGAGGAAGAGCCCAAAGGCAACAAGCAAGGGTGCTGGTGTCCAGTCGCCTTCTAGAAGCATTTTCACCTTCCCTTAAGGTTTCCCTTCATGAACATAGAAGTACTGTATGTAGAATTGACCCAGTGCTGCCCCGGCAGCTTTGTATATTAGGCTAAATTTACAATTCTTACCTTTATGAGAGGTGCCCTGGTAGGCTAGTGGAGTTACACAGGAAGTCTGATCTCAGCTGCACTATCCAGAGATGCAATATGGGTTCAATCAAATAACATTCTCTGAGCCTGTTTCTTTAGCTGTAAAGTAAGAATAACAGTTACGCACATCTAAATAGACAACTGTATTTGAATGGTCTTTTTTTTTTCTTTCTATGAAACTGTCTTTGCCAGGCGAGGTGGCTCACACCTGTAATCCTAGCACTTTGGGAGGCTAAGGTGGGTGGACCATGAGGTCAGGAGATCGAGACCACCCTAGCCAACACGGTAAAACCGTGTCTCTACTAAAATACAAAAACTAGCTGGATGTGGTGGCACAAGCCTGTAGTCCCAGCTATTTGGGAGGCTGAGGCAGGGGAATCACTTGAACCCGTGAGGC